TTTCTGTATGTCTGTGTTGACAGGAAGGTGCTAAGGGCAGAGATTATCTCTGGGGGGGACTTTGGAAGTGTTCGAAATCATTCCAATCACTTATACACTATCGAACTGCTGGCTGCCGGGAGGAGAGCAGATCTGTAAGCAGCAGGCAGTGGTGGGGTTTACAGAGATTAGTTTTTAAGACAAAATTACAAAGCAATGGACTCTGGGGATGGCAGATGTTTGGATTTTAGCACAGCACTTAAGAACTGAACAGAAACAATTTTTTCAGACTGCTGTGGACTAAAAACCCCATCACCTGGGCCGAAAACTAGCTGAAAGGCCATAAAAATAAGGTTATATTAAGTGGGAAAAGATGGAGTTAGAGGGATCTCAGTCTGCATATGGCCCCTTCAATGCAGTGAGCTTTCTGCAGGGTTCAGCTTGTCTGCGCAAGGTGATACAGTCCCAGGAAAAAACCCTCAGAAATCAAAGGCAGGTTTGTTCCTCCTCATCATCTTGTGCATGCACAAGGTGTGCTCTGACCTACAGCTCCGCTTCCAAGGGAGAGGAACATCTCTCCAGGAGCAGCTGCAGAGGAGGCTCTGCCCTCCCCAGCTCTGCATGGAAGAGGCAACCTGGGAAGGTGCTGCTGTGCTGAGCAAAACGGAGACCCTGTGGGGAAGAGAAATGCCCCACGACAGTGACACGGTCACATTTTTTTGACACCTTCATCAATAACCCAGAGAAATGAGAACTAGCAGAGGGATGAAAGGCCAAAAAAACTCTACTTCAGTATCAGGAAATCTTGTTGGTACAATGTCTCCTGGGGAAGCAAGGAGGGAGCACCTTGGCTATGTATATTTAAGCAAAGCATGAAGACAGTTACAAGCTTCTGTAATATGGGTGATGATCTCTTGGCTGGGAAGTTCTCAGTTACCAACAGATACTTTCAAACTCCCCAAACTGGGAAAGAGGGAAAATGGAACCAGTTGCATAAGGCTTGCAAGGAAGAGAAGAGGCACTGATGTCTTCACTGGTCCCAGGCTACCCAGGCTGTCTCCAGATGTAGGCTTCATCATTGAGATTTGGGCACTTCCTTTTGAGAACTTTAACTGTCAGTAAAGGCAGGATGGAAATCTGCAAAATGCAAACAACTGACAGGCCTTTAAAGCAGGATAAGCGCTCGTTAGGGGTGGATTATTCCCAGGAGCATATGCTGCAGCTTTGCTGCTATTTACAATGACTCAGTGAACTTGACTTTAAAAAAAAACCACCAAAACTAACCCCAAACATTCACAACTCTCCAACCTCCAAAAAAGCCAGCAGCAGCTGCAGAGAGCTCCAGTGCTGACAAGTACCTCCCCAGGCAGCCGCGCAGTGCACAGGCGGCTGGGCTGAGCCAGTCCCAGGGCCCACGGCATCCACATCCTCCTCTCCCTGTGCCGGCGAGGTCCAAACACCAAAGGAGACGAATGGACAGACCCTCCCCAGCGCAGGCAGGGGTCTCTGGCAGCCATGGCTCTGCAGAGGCAGATGACATGTAGCTCATGGACAAGCTGTTCAGCTCCAACACAGGCTGGCAGAGCTTCCAGTGGGCTCTGAGTATGATGCAGCACCAGAGTTGGCTCTGAAGCCTGGGAGATTTCAGCATGCCCACCACGGGCACAGACTATGCTGTTTCTCATCATACAGAAGAGAATAGATAAGGGCAATTGCATGCAGAGCTGACTCATCGTGTCCCCCAGTTTGATGCCACTATCTCTGTAGACAGACAATCTGGAGGAATTTGAGAAGAGCCAGATGAGGAAAAGAGGGATCTAGGAACTGAATCCTAGACGAGACATATGTCTTGGAGGAAAGGCCATGAATAGCCACTTTGGGTGCCCTATTATACTATACAAAGCTGAGACCAGTTCTCCCCCTTCCATTCTCCTCCTTCCGTTTACATTACCCCATTTCTGAAAACTCCATTTGAATATGCCCTAGAAACCCAGGATGGGATCAGTGCACTTTGCAAAGGGAGGTGTGACCATGCTGCTCCAGAGTTGGCCGAAACAGAGCACAGTGCTGGGGGAGGATGCTGCCGAGGGCTGGGCAGGGATTCGTGCCAGCACAAGGAAATGCACCACCCCAGTTCCCGGCCCCCATCCCTGGCTGCATCTCCAGCATGAGATTTGAGACGCAAAGAGCAGAGCTGCAAACAGCACACCCTTTGCTGCCAAAGGGTTTACTGAGGCAGCGCCGAGCAGAGCTGCCAGCCAGAAATGCCCTTGTTCTTGGGCAGGCTGCAAGGCCAGGGCACACACAGCCCTCCCAGAGAAGGGCAGTGCCAGACACCTGGTTACTTGGGCAAACCTGGGGCTACATGTCTCTGTCCTCTCACCTCCAGGACTTGTGCTGCCTTTAAAATGGTTTTCTGAAAGGATCCCCAATCTGCTGCACAGGACTACAAGCATCGTCCCATATTTAATGAAGGCAGTGCACTGGCTCCTGGGCAGCTGGTTTCATTTACCTCCCCTTTCATTTTAAAGAGAAACTTTTGCCCCTATTATCTGACCTCTTCTTCTGTTGCAGTTAATTACATTAAAGCCCACTTCCCAAAGCTCAGGAATTTCCGGATCTACTTTGTTGCCTGCTGCTACAGGGACAGTCTGCTAGGAATTAGGGCACCCGCCTGCTGGGGACGCCAAGCGGGGCAGATCCTGGCTGTCACCGTGACACCCCGCTGCCACCGGAGCTGTGAAACCCAGACACCTCTGCTGATGGAGCCGCCCCCCACCCCTGAGCACCTTCCCGAGGTGAGGGCAGGGCCCTGTCTGCAGCATGGGAGACAGGCAGCCCCACTGCTCCCACCCAAGAGGAGGGGTGGGGTGTGACCTGTTCCCCCCCAGGTAAAGACCTGCGGGCACAGGGGGAGGCACTGCCCACCTCCAGTCAACTGATAAATGCACTGACAAAGAAAAATGACCAGGGACTTGCTTAATGGCCCTAAAGGCACAACTCACACCCATGCCTTCCTCTGCCCCCAGATGAGGTGCCTCTGCCTGTCCCGCTGGTGGGAACTCTCTCTGGCCCATGCCATCTCCCCGGCCATGCCTTGGTATCTCCTGGGACCATGCTGGTAGCCAGGGTCATGATGCTGCTAGGGACTGTGCCCTCCACCAGACAGCGCAGAGGATGGCCAGCCAGTGGGCAAAGCCATGTCCTGGTTGGGTTTATTTACTGGTGGAGATGGGCCAGTGGTTCCTTCATGCAACCCCTTCCTCTAAGCACAACCTTAGAAGACACCACGCTCTGAGCACTCACAGCAAGCTCATGCAAGCCCAAATATTTTCCCTTGGTATATACACGTGTGTGTGTGTGCACAGGGGCACACATCCTGGGCAACTGTGCCCCAGCACCTTTAGGAAATCTGTCCCCTGAAGCTACTGCCTCATGAGCAACTCTGTCCACACACTCGACACATCTAAGCCAGAAGAGATGTTACCCAAACCAAGCCAAGGAAAAGCATTTTAAGTAGCATCCCCCACATTCTCGTGTGCCTGGCATCCCTGGTTAACACATAGGGTGGATGACTTTCCATCTTGGAAGATAACGTGGCATTCTCCAAGGAGCCAAAAGGATGGATGTCCACTGGCTTTGAAGATGCAAACATTTACTTTCCCTGTAATTAACAGGGATTTGTGCTTCAGAGGCAGCATTGCATAAGGATTTGCCCATTAAATATGCAAAACTTGGAGTTTTGCACAACACTTGGGATGGAAAAACAGCCGTATAGAGTGACAGAGCATGCCTGAGGACCGGACCGGGCACGGCTGCAGGTTTAAGTGGGCAATGAATCTTCTCCCTGTGCGAGGACGTCAGCGCCAAGCAAAGAGATGGCTGTGGGGAGGTTTCTGAGCAGTGGAAACCCGCATCCAAAGACGGCGGGGGTCCGCAATAAACTGAGCATTTACTCATAACCAAACATAACAAACAAACTAAATTATCAGAGAAATGCCAAAACTCTCAGAGCCCCTGTCAGTCCCACCTGCCACACCCTCCTTCAGTGAAAATTCCCTGAGCGTTTCAAGGCCATTCACACATCCCTCTCCAGCAACACATTACATCTGAAGAGGGAGGCACACATGCTGAGTTACATATGTAAGTTAAACCATACTCAGAAAGGCCAGCGAGGTTGCTTATTCCCACCCAGTGCCACTTTTCTGTCAGCTGTATTTCAGAGAAATTCTGTTTTCATGCAGAGAAGAAGGATCCCTGCAATGTATTCCCTTCTCAATTCCCTTTCTGGATCGAGCGCAGCCTTTTCAAAGGACTTAACAGATTTGACAAATTTATAACCGATATCTTGGGAGAATGTTGGGGTTTGGAACAGAAATGTTCATACTTGAAGTTAGACAGCGGTTTAGTTTCCTGCTAATAATTTTCTTCTTGGATACAAAGGAACTTGTTTTGTTTTGTTTTGCTGTTTGGAGCAGAGGGATGAGACACTGTTTTGACATTTATTCACAAACAGTACAGAAGCCCAGCTTGGGGCTGTGGCCATTGCCAGTCCTCGCAAATGCATACGGGTGCAATCTCCAGAGCTGCAAACCGGGGCTGGGTGAGAAGCAGCTTCTACTCTGCAGTGGAAACGGGTCAGCAAGCAGCGTCTGAGCTCTGCTGACCCTCGCAGGGAGCTGCTCCAGCCCTCCTGCTCACAGGCTGCTGCTTCAGCGTGGCCGCTCAGCCCCAGCACTGCCGAGTACTTTGCACTGTCCTACAAGAACAGGTTTCACAGCAGCCATGCAGGCAGATTCCCTGCACACCAGGATGAAACTCCCCATCTGAGGTCTGGAAGTTTGCTCCTTCAACTCCTCCAAGGGTTTGGCCCAGTGATAAAGCCCCGTTGCAGAAAGAGAATTCCGGGACTAAGTAAATGTGATCAGCACATCGTGTAATGGTGAAAAGCAAACTCCCAGCTGAGACATAGATCATCATTGTGCAGCATGAGCCCGTAAGTGACACAAATCCTGCTCCAAATGCTCTTCTACCCCATTACCCCCATTGCTTCAGCCTGCTGCTTGGCAGGGAAGCCCCAGGAACCAAACATCCAAGCGGCAAAGTAAGGCAAGCTAAGCTCCCTGAGGAACAAGACTTGCTGTATGCTGGTGCTATAAACCACTCTGAGATGCCAACAGTTGCTTCTGCAGGAAGTTCCAAGGTTAATGCACCAAAGAGACCCTGGGGACATTCGCAAGAAAACCTCACGTCTTAAAACCCAAGCTCATTTTAAGAGCAGGTCTAGAAACCTAGAGACCTAGAGGTGGGCTTTACAAGAGATGAGCTTTACAAATCACACTGCTACACTTCAGCAAAGCAACCTGAGCACCCCACGAAATGTCACTGTGGAGGACCAGTTTGGGGAACCAAGCGCTGTTGGAAGCACACACAAGCCCATCTTGGACCTGAGACCTTGTCGCCAGTGCCCTGCATGGGAAGTTTAACCCAGTTCAGAGCAAATCCACTTTTTTGGGGAACAGGGGGGTCTCAGCACGGTTTTTGCTCTAGTGAATGTGTGGCTCTAAAATGTGTCCTTTCTGTGGCAAGAGAGAGTCCTGCCTGCCCCACAAACCCTTTTTCTATCCGTTCTGGCAGTTGCTGCTGTGCTTGCACACTGCCTCACCTTTGCACTGGCGTTTGCACTCACACTGCAGAGGGTCACAGCCTGTTGGGGAACCTACCCCTGGCCCAGCGTACAACTGAGGCAATTGGAAATAAGAGGAGGAAAAAGATATCTATGGATTTTCCCCAAAATAAGAAAATGTTTCCCTCCACATGGTGCTTGTCACAGTCAGTGCTACAGCTCAGAGCTCCCTTTGCCTCTTCTGAACTGCAGCACACGTCCATGTGTAGGAATCAGGGGAAATCAGGTACCAGCATCTCTCTGGCAGCCCCACTCAGACCTGGATCTTAGATGTTCACCTCCTTTCCCTCAACATCTGCTTCTGGGGCCCCATCTGCACTGCAGGACATCAGAGACCCTTATGAAACAGAGCAAGGAATGGGGCATTACACATTTACCACTGGACTAAGCCCTCCTTTGGGCCAAACCAGCTTAGCTTCAGGGAGTTTGCGGGGAGACAGTGATTGGGGTGAAAGGAAAAGGGCCTTCAGACAGTCCCATACATCTGTCACATGTGACTTTTGCTTCCCTGTCATCCTCGGTCCAGCCACCACCGGAGCTGCCTGTCCCTCCAGCTGCCTTCAGGGACTGTCCAGCCCAGTGCAGACTTTGTTTCCAGGCATGCAGGCAGTGGTATTTTTAGCCTCTGTCTCAGCTGCAGTGGTAAAGGTTAACACATCCCCTCCTGTATTTGTTCGAGAGGCTCCAGAGGGAGGGACACAGCCTCTTTCACCTATTCAAATGCAGCAGGAGGACAGAGGAGGTGGCTGTCACACATCTGTCCCCTTTCACACCCAGACAGTGCATCAGCTCTGCTCCCAGCCTCCCCTAATCACTGCAATTAGTGTTGGAAAGTAGAAGAAATGGTGAATACCTACTGTTGCCAGGTAACAGCATCCACCGTGCTGCCAGCCACTTTCATGAACCTATGGGAAACAGAGGAAGAAACCATATAAACCCAATGTTGTCACAGGGGAAGTCCTAAAACAACCAATGTCCAAAGGTGGTCACCGCACTCACAGACTCTTTCTAATGAAACCTTTGCATCCTTAAATGGAAAGAATAAATTACACCTAACACAAATGCTTGTGGCAAGCACAGCTGAGAATAATGGAGTGAAACCCAACTGGCAGCAGAGCTCTGAGCATCATTTTGGGGCAGGTAGGGAGAGCTTTTGAGGCACAACAGCATTTCAGGAACAAGATCTTGGGGTATGTACTCTAGTTCTACAACTGCAACAACCCTCAATAGCGATTAAAGAAAAAGTTTTAAATGTCCATGTTAAAAGGAGACACTTCTTCACCCAATGTGTATTTAAGCTGAGGAACTCCTTCCCTGGACTCAAGCAAGGACTGTGAAAATGGAAGAAAAAAACAGCAAAGCTATTAGATGCCACATCCAGCACAGGAAGCTCCTGAGCATTGGAGGTTGGGAGGAAAGGCTGGACAAATGCAGCTACATGCTTCTCTTATTTTAATGCTCTCTTGGGCATCGGCTGTTAGCAAACTGATGGGATTCCTACCTGGGTGCACCTTTAGTCTGTCCCGTTCCTATTATTCACCACAGCACTTCCATGCTCAAGGTTACAGTGAGTTATGTGTATGTGTTAGTTCTCTGATGGCTTATGACCCAACTATCTTAAAGACAATACATCTCCTCCAGACAGCTCCTATTTGAGTTAGACTTGGGGTTACACAGGTGTATCTGCTTATGCTGCTGATGCCAAAACCAAAGCAATTCCTAATCTTGGGGACCGTATACAACCATGGTGGCAGCAGCCTTTGGCACAGGTCTGCTGTCATTCAAGACAGTCCCTCCCTGGCTCCCTGGTCCAGCAATCCAAGCTGCACCTTGGAAAACTGCAGCTTCCAGGAGGAAGCCGAAGCAGTTACCCTATTCTTATGCTTAGGAGCAGAGATATCAAAACACACAGAGGCACGCACCGACTGGACAGGCACGCTTTTCTGCTCAGCAGCCTAATGTGCACCGCGAAGCTGATGCGTTTTGGAAGTGCTAATGTATGCACATGACAGGAGACATTGGCTTGTGCAAGTGAATGTGATCAGAAAGAAACCAATGCTGTATTGTCTGGGGCTGCTCTTCGATGCACTGGGATGCTGGGAACACAATGGGAATCACACAGCTGTCCTGATTCCACCAGGACACAGGGATGAGTGGTGCTGGGTCCTGCGACCCCAACTCCTCCAGGACAGCTCTATGACCAAGGGTGGGGAAGGGAAGGTTTGGGAGGAGAGATGAGACCCTTTGTCAGACCAGTTGTCATGGCAGGGAAGAACAGCAAGCTTTCTGGCACATGAGCCTCTAATCAGGTCTGAAACAAGAGCAGCAAACTTCAGGCTAAATATAGCTCGGAAACAATCATTCTGACTTTAAATTAATGACGATGGTCAATTATAGACTGGGACAAAAGGGCAGCTGGACCCTGTGAAGCATAAGAGGACATTGGCAAAGGCAGCGGTAATAAATCCCTGCAGACAGAGAGGAAAGAGATACAATTAGAAATGGAAAAACAATAACATGCTGTAAAACCCCGTAGCACTGATGCATCCCTGGTTCTGCTGCCCAGCAGTGCCGTGAGCTTCAGTTCCCAGGGTCGCCTTTCAGAAATGCTTCTACATCTCTCCAGAGGGTCGGGCCTGGGAGGCCAGTACCAGGGCAGTGGTTTGGGATGGCTGCTCCCCAGCTGAGCAGAGCAAGGAGACCAGCTGGACCAGCCAGGGTGCAGCCAGAGGGAGGGGTGGGAGCTCCCCACAACTCACATGGGTCATCGGGCAAAAAGGGGATTTTGCAAATATTGTTCTGCAAAATGAAGTGTGCAGAAACATGCCAAAAGGATCAAAAAACCCGACTCCCAGGTTTTAAATGTTCAGTACAGGGACTGCTGCCTAAAATGTAATGCATGAAGTGTACAAGACTGAACTAATGAACTCCAAACTGAAGTCATGAACATAATCTATATTGAAGATCGATATATTGCCATTGGGCTTGAAGATTAGCCCATCTTGCTTTCTAACCACTAATGTTTTACGTTCTGGCTGCAAAATCAACCATCCTGGGCTTTACTAAATCATGTCTTCAGGCTCAGCTTGGCACTCTCCACTTGCAATCCAAAACTATGAGCAGATTGAGCTCAGAGGAAGAAGCTCTCCGGCTTTCCTCATCACTTCTACAGCGCCTACAGCTCTGCTGCAAGCACACCCACTACAGCAGACTTTCAGCAGGGACTGAAAAGCAAAGCAAACCCTCAGTATAACCTCCAGCATCCCTGAAGCAGCAGAGCCAGGACATCCATCTGTCCCATCTCCCATGTCTCTAGGAAGCTAATTGACTTGTTGTTAAAAAGCTCCTGAGAAAACATTTTTCTAGGACACAGGCATCACTCAGGCAGCACAGTACAGACCAAAAGCAGGACAGAAAAGGCTCTGGCTTGCTTAGTGTTCCTCTTCTGTCTCCATAAGAGTGAAATAAATTAGTTAGTTCTGGTCATTTTCAAATTTTACCATAAAAGATGCGTATCTAGCTCAACTTTTGCTTTCCATGTTTGTTTTTCTTTTTCCTTTCTTTCCTTCTTTTTCCTTTTATTGAGATTTTTGCAGGATGAACTTTTTTTTTCAAAAGGTCCTGGTAAAACTTCAAGTCCTGTCTTAATGGTGGAGCTGCGCCTGGAGCACCCCAGATGACTTGGGAAGTGGTTTCTACCCTCCAAAGGGAACCTAGAGCAGCTCAACAGCCAACAAGTGGTACTGCACAAGTAAGAGATGGAAGCCCAGGACAGGTGGAGATGCAGTGATGCACAGGTATTCAAATATCCTCAGTTTAGGAATACAGATGTTACTAATCCCTGTATTCCTGTAGCACCTGGACTGTTCAAACCACAGATATTGAGGCCACTGAAGATCCATATGGTCCAAATGACCAGCACTGGCACATTTTTATCTAGGATTTCCTGGACTGCGCGATGTCCATGTGTGCAGCGTGGCGCAGGCAGAGCAAACCAGACGCTTCCGGGAGGGCTCAGATCCCTGCACATGTGCTGCACAGATGGGCCGGGCTGGCGCAGTAAATCTGCCATTTTCCTACACATTGGCCTTTCTCTGTGAGCACCAAACAGCCGCGCAGTGCGCGTGCAGTAAATCCCCACCCAGGAATGGTGGGACAAGCTGAGCCCGTGCTGTGCAGGCAACATGGGCAACTGCTGTAGTGATGCCCCATAATTCAGATGGGTGGCAGCCTCAGGACATGCCCGTGTGATATCCCTGGCTGGACTTCCACATATCAGAAACCTGTGAAAATGTAAATGTCCTCAAAATCTGCTGAGACACCATCTCTAGGTGGGAAAACAGAACATGTCAGAGGTCTGTGGAGGAACAGGAGCCTTGGGTAGGGAGTCTGTAATACTGAGAATTAGACAAAGTCACTGAGCTCGGCTACATCCACCTCCTTACCCTTGCAGCTCCTGTGTGTCAGCACCCCATGCCAGCATTACTACTTGTGGGGCCTGTGTTGAGTTAGAACTGAGGCTCAAGCTTGCTTTTTAATAAGCACTTTGCTTTAATAAGTAACATTGATCAGTCACCCAAATAGTTCACAGCTCTGTCCCAGAAATGGTAATACTGGTATAATATGGGGCAGCACCTCACCTCACAGGTCAGGAATGAGCTGTGGGAGAGTGGGGCAGGAGGGCTGCAGCACCACGAGGTGGTACTGACACCACAACTCTATGTTGTGAAACCATGGCTGAAATCTGACTTTTCCCAGAGCATCTCCCATAGCCACATCTCCCAGGACCGCAACTTTCACTTGAGTGTGGGCACATCTCTGAAATAGATCTCCAGTCCTGATTTAATACTTGCCAGTCATGGAGCACCTACTTCAACCTTAAGCAAATTGCTCCCATGGTTAATTAGCCTCCAAGTATGTTATTTCTCAACTGAATGTGTCTGGCTTCAGCTTGCAGCCACTGGAACTTCCTTGGCTTATTCCTGATACATTAAAGAGCCATCTGCATTTAGAAATCTCTTTCCCATGCAGGTAATTGCAGAGTGTCATCCTTTAAATAATAAAAAAAATTGATCCTATAACAAAGAACGCAGCTGCACAAGGTGACAAGTTACTGTCACACAGACTCCCAGGTGGTTCAGCATCATCATCTGACTCCTGGGTGCTGGACTTAACAGACATGGGTTATCTCACCTGTTACTCCCTGGAGTACAACAAAAACTACAAACTGACCCCCCAGAAATGCCAAATGTAGGAGCAACATTGGCCTGCCCATGGTGCCATGGTGGGTCGCTAGAGCTGAGTGGCAGATCTCTGCCCTTTGAAACCACAGTGATGGGTAGAAATAGCTTTATCTTTTGTCTGAATTGGTTGGTGGGGGGCACTAAGGCACAGGCTTCACCTACTAACTTCTGCAGTTTCCAGTAGCACAATCAAATACCTGCAGCAGCAGAGACAGGTACTTGACCCAACTCATGCCACCTGCTGCAAAGACTTTGACCAGCAGCACCAGATTTCAGACAGGGACTTCACTCCGGGGAGCAGAGCCTGGTATAAATTTGGTGCTATATTGTATTCTCTCTGCTCAGCATCTCCTTTCTTCAACCAACCTGATCTACAGTGGGGCTGCCCAAGCCTTCTAGAAAAGAGGGCTTTATGTCCCAGACTGCCCCACCCAATCTACACTTCAACGACTCTAGAGGTTGCACTTGGACCACGATGTTGCATTACCACTCATGCTTTTTCCCATCGTTGGTTTGTCCAGTCCCTTCTGAACTCACACCTCTGGCCTCCACAGTAACCTGTAACAATGACTTCTACAATGCCATTGCATACCATGTGAAAAAACTTCCTCCTTCTTTCCAAACTATTTTCTGCACTGTGGAAAAAATACACCATTCATAGG